ACTGAGCCCCAGCCCCTCATCATCTCCATACAGTTACCCCAGGTTTTTGCTGGAGAGCCTGGGTGGGATGAAGGGGGAATGGTGAATGAGGGTTCTAAGCCCAGGAGAGACTCCATTACTTGTGTTCCTTATTGCTTATTTTTTAAGATATTATTTTAGCTGTCCATGGATTGTGTTTTATTTATTGATACTGAGAATCAAACCCAGTGCTTCACACATCCCAGGCAAGTGCTCTGCCACTAAGCCACAACCCCAGCCCTCCTTATTGTTTGAATGGTTCTTTTTTTGCAGTGTCAAAGTAGTAGAAAAGAATACGGAAATATGGAAAAGCACATGTGTTAACAGCCCGCTACTTTATTTCAGTTTAGTATGTTATTTGTAACAAATTTATTTATTAAAAATGTATTTCAGGGCTGGGGCTGAAGCCTCCTGCTAGAGTGCTTGCCTAGCATGTGTGAGGCCCTGGGTTTGATCCTTAGCACCACATGTAAATAAATAAGATACAGGTGTTTGTTTTATCTACACCTAAAAATATTAAGAAAGTTTATTCCATGTACTAAACTCATGAACCACATTTCATGGAACTAAACTCATGAAACTAAACTCATAAATCACATTCTTATTTGGTTGAGAAAATTCCAGTTTAATTGTCAGTATATGTACATTTTACCTCTTTAGAAAATTTCTGTAAATATTTTTTTTAGTTGTAGTTAGACACAATACCTTTATTTATTTATTTTTATGTGGTGCTGAGGATCAAACCCAGGGCATCACATGTGCTCGGTGAGTGCTCTACCACTGAGCCACAACCCCAGCCCTGGTGCATTTTACTTATCCATAATAGTGGGGTCCATTTTGATGTATGCAGACATGCATGGAGTATAATTTGTTCAGTTTCACCCCAGTATTTCCATGTTCCCTTTCCACCTCCTTCCTCCTGCTCCCCTTTCTCTAGTGGTCTTCCTTGTATTTATTTATTGTTTTGTTAAACTGGTGGTTTATAGATAGACATGAAGGGGGGATTCACTGTGGTGTAGTCGTATATGTACTTAGATCGTTTGGTCACTTTCATTCTGTAGTTCCTCCCTTTTCCCATCCCTCCTCTCTCCCCCTACATCCCCTTCTATTCCACTGACCTCCTTTCTATCTTTATGGGATTTCCCTGTTTTATATTTCCTTATTTATCTGTAGCTTCTGCGTATAAGATAAAGCATTTGACCTTGGCTTTCTGAGTCTGGATTATTTCAATTAGCATGATGTTCTCCAGTTCCATTCATTTACCAGCAGATGCAGTAATTTCATTCTCCTTTATGGCCAAGTAAAACTCTGTGGTGTGTATATGCCATGCTTTCTTTATCTGCTCATCTGTTGACCGACACCTGGGGTGGTTTCATAGCTTGGCTACTGAGAATTGTGCTGGCTTGAACGTTGATATGGCTGTATTACTATAGCATGCTGATTTTTGTTATTGTAGATAAATACCAAAACAAAACAGAAAAAAAGGTGGGAGGGACAGCTGGATCATGTGATGGCTTTATTTCTAGTTTCTTGAGGAATCTCTGTACTGCTATCCATAGTGGTTGGTTGCACTCGTCAGCACAAACAAAGGTGAGTGTACCTTTCTCCATATCCTCACCAGAGTTTTTTTAGTTTTTGTATTCCTGATGTTTGCCCTTCCAACTGGAGATGAAATCTTTTTTTTTTTAAATTTTTTAAAAGAGCATCATTTTTTTTAGAGAGAGAGAGAGAGAGAGAGAGAGAGAGAGAGAGAGAGAGAGAATTTTTTAATATTTATTTTTTAGTTTTCGGCGGACACAACATCTTTGTTTGTATGTGGTGCTGAGGATTGAACCCTGGCTGCACGCATGCCAGGCGAGCGCGCTACCGCTTGAGCCACATCCCCAGCCCTGAGATGAAATCTTAATGTCGATGTGATTTGCATTTCTCTGATTGCCAGGGATGTTGAACATTTTTTTTCCATGTTTTTGGCCATTTGTTTTTCACCTTTTGAGAAATGTCTGCTTAGTTCTTTCACCCATTTTTGTATTGAGCTATTCATTTTTCTGTTGTTACATGTTTTGAGTTATTTATATTTCTGGATATGAATCCCTTGTTGGAAAAGTAGATGGAAAAGACTTTCTCCCAGTCTGATGGGCTCTCTTCATGATCCTATTTCCCTTACTGGGCAGAGCATTTTAATTTGAAGGCATCCCACTTATTGAGTCTTGGTTTTATTTTTTGAACTTTATGTGTCTTGTTGAGGAAGTCAGTGCCTGCCCTGCACCAATATGTTGGAGAGTCAGGTGTCTATGAGCCCAATCTAGCTTTTCTACTGGTTTACATCTTCATTTTAGAAATCATTTATCTTGAATTGATTGATCTATAATAAATAGCATCTTACATTTTAGGTTTCAAGTGCCCTACAGCTTCTGCCAAAATAATTCATTGTCCATGAATGTGATAATGCATTTAAATGATGATAAAGATGAATATAGAATAAAAGGAACTTGGCTTTATAATAACAGTGTATCCCTCTTCTTAAAAATATATATATTTAGACTGGGATTTGAACTCAGGACTTCATGTATCCTATGCAAGTGTTCTACCACCTATAAGTGAGCAACATCCTCACTTTTCTTTTTGAGACAGGATCTTGCTAAATTTCCGAGTAGCCTCAAATTTAGAATGTTCATTTCTCAGTCTCCCTAAGTAGCTGGGATTATTATGGTGTATACTACTATACCCAGGTCCTCTCCTCTTTCAGTAGAATACCTGATACTTCCATGCACTTTATGGTGGCTGGGTCAGAGCAGGCAGGGGTGGTGGATGGCCAGGGACTTCTGCCCAGGATTCAGTGAAGCTGCTGGGGCCTACTGTACCAGGTGGAGGGTGGTGGGTGAGGCAGACTATTGCTGCCTCCACCCAGCTCAGGTCAGTTTCCCTGAGGTGGGTTGTTGGGATGGAAGGCTAGAGAACTAGGGGCTCTGAGCGAGTGACCACCAAGGCCACTATTCCTCACCATCTGTTGTCCCTCCTGTTGGCTTTGGCCCTCCTCTAGACCCCTCTTGCAGGCCCTGCCTTCCTTCTCCTGACCCCACCCCATCCTCCAGACCACACCCTCCATAGACTCTGCCTAGACCCCTCCCCCAAGGCCCCCATGTCTCTTCTCCAGATCCCTGCCCTGTCCAGACTGTGGCCCTCCTCCACACCCTACCCTGTTTCCAGGCCCTGCCTCTCTCAGCCACAGCTCAGGGCACTGTTTGACAGTACATTTGCAGTGGGGCACAAAGTAGCCTGTTGAATAAACATTGACATTCTACATTGGCCGAAATATCTTGACTATATCAGGCTTTGATGGCACATAAACTGAATTTAGGAAAGTCACCTTTTTTCTCTAGATCATAAACGTTTGAAATAAAATCAGAATCTGTGAAAGGTCAGGTAACAATCAGCTGTGAGCCCTAATGATCCCAGGGTCTTTTCCAGTGGGAGATCTCCAAGCAGCAGTTCCAACTTTGCTATGCTAATAGATTGATTGAGTTTTCTTATTTTAGTTGTTTTGCAATGTCTGTATTTACTAGAAAATGTCCCATGTCCACCACGTTTCCAGTTGTTTTTAATTTCTTCTCTTTTTAGTTTTCTACAGAATTCTTTTTTTTAATGAGAGAGAGAGAGAGAGAGAGAGAGAGAGAGAGAGAGAGTGTTTTAATATTTATTTTTTAGTTTTCGGTGGATACAACATCTTTGTTTGCATGTGGTGCTGAGGATCCAACCTGGGCCGCACGCATGCCAGGCGAGTGCGCTACCGCTTGAGCCACATCCCCAGCCCGTCTACAGAATTCTTAATCCTATGAAATTCTGCTGTTTTTCCTCAGCAATATTTTTAAAATATGCTTTTTGCTTTCTTGGTTTTTCATTGAGAGACTTGTTTGAAAATTCTCATGATAATCTTAAATGATTTTAATTATTTTCTGCTTATTGAGATGTCTTTGCATACTGGGTATGCAGGTCAGTGACAGAGCACTTGCCTAGCAATTGAGAGGTCTTGGGTTCCATCCCAGCAACCCCCCCCACACATATATATTTTTATATATACACACACACACACACAATGTCATTTGGCAGAACTCAAGCATCAGAGGTATCCAGAGATATGTTTAAAAACATTATGTGTGTGTGTGTGTATATATATATATATATCACAATATCTTTTCCAGATTTCGATGAAAATTTTCTAAGAAAGCATTTCAATGTCAAGTATTATATTGCATGATTCTTTTTTTAAACCTTTATTTTATTTATTTTTATGTGCTTTTCAGGATCTAAGTCAGGGCCTCACACATGCTAGGTGAGTGCTCTACCACTGAGCACAACCCCAGTCCCCTGCATGATTCTTAAAACCACTGTAGATGAAGTTTCCTTAGGACTCAAGTCATTACAATGTGTAAGAGACAAGTCAATAGCTGAGATTTTTAATTAAGAAATATTTTTACTAAAAATAAATTTTTTAAGTAGACATTTTTTTTTCTACTTTTCAATTTAGAAAGCATATCACTATGTCTTATTAAAGTTCTACATTTGTTTATTTATTTTTATGTGGTCCTGAGAATTGAAGACAGTGCCTCACACATGCTAGGCAAGTGCTCTACCACTGAGCCACAAACCCCAGCCCAACCCTCCTCCTCTTTAAGACCCTGCCTTTTCTCCAGACCCCACCCATCTTCCAGGCCCCCTCCTCCTCCTGACTTTCCCTCCCCCTCCTTCAGACTCTTCCCCTGCTAGTCTAGGATGAGCAGCTCCCTGGCTGCTGTGCTAATTGGCAGTATATTTGTAATGGTGCACAAATAATGACCATTGTATAAACACTGACATCCTGCATTGGATGAATTATCTTGACTATATCAGGATTTGATATACCATAAAATAAAGTTAGAAAAGTCACCTTTCAAAAAAAAAAAAAAAAAGAAAAGTCACCTTTCTCTCTCTCTTTTTGTCTATAGATAATGAACATTTGAAATAAAGTCAGAATTTGTTAAAGGGCAAATGACAGCCAGCCTTGAGCCCTGATGATCCCAGGATCCCATCCAGTGGGAGAACTCTAAATTCAGTCCAAGGTTCTGTATGCTAATTGATTCATTTATTTTTCTTATTTTAGAGTTATTTTTCTATGTAATTCATCATTGCCTCCAGTTCGGTGCAGTAGATTTTTCCTATTCAATTTTTTAATTAATATTCTTTCAGTTTTCTACAGAATTTTTAAAAATTTTTTTTAGTTGTCAGTGGATCTTTTTATTTTATTTATTTATATGTGGTGCTGAGGATTCAACCCAGGGCCTAACACCTGCCAGGCAAACACTCTGTCTTTGCGCCACAACTCTAGCCCTCTATAGAATTTTTAATTCTGTGAACTTCTATTTTTTTTAAGGAATATTTAAAAAATTACTTTTACCTTACTTTGTGTTTGATTGAGAGAATTGTTTTGTTTGAGAGAATTGTCTTGTTTGGAAGTGCTCATAATCAAATGATTTTAATTAATTTCCATTTATTAAGGTATCTTTGGAGACTGGATGTGCAGCTCAGTGGCAGAGCACTTACCTGGCATGTGAGAGCCCATGGAGTCCATCCCAGAAGATGTCTTTGACAGGACTCAAGCATGAGAGGTATGGTTTAAAAAGATCATGTATTGTGGCTGGGGTTGTGGCTCAGTAGTAGACATTCACCTACCACATGGGAGGACCTGGGTTTGATCCTCGGCACCACATAAAAATAAGAAAATAAAACAAAGGTATTGTGTCCAACTACAACTAAAAATAAATAAAATTTTTTAAAAAAGATCATGTATTTACACATATACCACAGTGCCTCTTCCAAATTCATATGAAATTATTCTAAGAAAATTTCAAATCAGTTTTAAAAGAGAAGAGGGATGATGATATTTTTAATGTTAACTTAACTGTTGATATTTTATGATATTTAACACCACTATAGATGAAATCTCCTGGGGTGCAAATCATTACAAAATGTAAGAGACAAGTCAGTAGCTGCTTTTTTTGTAATTCAGATACATTTACTAAAAATAACCTTTTTTAAAAAAACAGATATTTTCTTCTTGTCAAATTTAGAAAGCATTTCCATATGTCCTATTAAAGTTCTACATTCATCAGAAAGTTCTCTTATTCCTTGAACAAAGGGATGGGCCTTCTAATGAGCATGATACTTTATGTTGTCAGGAATTCTTGTGGGAGAACTCTTTAAGAATTTTGCCTCTTATATTCAAAATATCATTTAAAAATGTATCACTTTGCTTTTGATTTCATAAATTTGTCTTTCTTTTGAAATTATGTATTTATTAGTATTTAATAATTTTAATGTATTTATTAGTATTTAGGGTTATTTCATGTGGGAAATGCCATGATTACATTTTATCCTAGTGTTGTGTCCCTATGTGCTTATAAGGTGGCTTTCAGAATGCAGTTGAGTATCTGTCTCATATTTGTTGGATTCATTAGAAAAGTATATGCACTTTTGATCATATTCAAATGGTCACATTCGAATTATTAGAAGCAGAAATCAGACATGTTAGTATTGTGAGCTGAACAAAGTGCAGGTTTACTTTAATCATTTTGAGTAGGTTGACATAATGGCTTCTGTCCTGTTCTGTACCTGCCATAGTTGTCTGTTATGAGATGTTTCACCTCGAGAATTTTTTTTTTGGCACTGGGGATTAAACCCAGGGCCTTGGATGTGCTATGCAAGCCCTGAGCTACATATGTCCCCAGTCCTTGTTACAATTTCATTTTGAGACAGGGTCTAGCTGGATTGCTAATATCAGCCTCAAATTTGTGATCCTTCTGCTTTATCCTCCCAAATAGCTGAGATGAGAGGCATGTGTCAAAGTGCCTGGCTTGTCCCGGAGGATTTTGATGTCAGTAATTACATGTTTCCAATGTGTTAATAATTTCCTAAGCTAGATTATGTTCATTTTTCTTATCAACAGTCAATAAAGCCTTTTTGTTATTTTGATGGTATGCTTAATGTGAACATGCTTTATGATGTGACACCACTGTTCTTGATGGTCTAGCTATGCAATACACTATAAGGAGAGTATTTTGATTCTGAGAGTCTCAAGTGTTTTAGGCCCAACATGTTTTCTTAAGAGGAATGATTATTCATTTTCTATTATATTATACAAATAAGACACAAATTCTTTGTTTTTCCTTTTGTGGTTCTGGGGGTTGGTCCTAGGACCTCCTGCATGCTAGGAAACTTTCTATCACTGAGCTACATCCCCAGCCCCATAGATCCTTTAGTTGTCATGAGCTTCATGATGAGCTAGTGACAGTAAAATTACTTAGAATTTCAACTAGATTTAGACTCATGCAAGAGTTTGGGCATCCATAGCTCCTTGTGATTTCTAAAAGGTAGAGTGTTTTCCCACAACACAGCAGCATCTAATATCACTCCTGGACTGAGTTGACACCTCTGCTTCTCTTGGCTCACCACTTCCTGCAGAGGTCTTGGAGGAAATGACTATTTCTTTGACTATTTGTCCCAGTGACAAATATTTGATTATATTGCTGCTAAAAGATATGCATAGAAATAAAATAGAGACAAGGATCCTTTGGGATAAGTGATTCAGTCACAGTGAGTCAATTTGTATTAGGACAATTTTTTTTTAATAAAGTCGCTCTTTAGGGAAAGTTAAACCATGAGTTGAAATAGAATCTCTAAAATGTCATTTTTACCCCCTGTAGTGATCAAGTTTTAAGAAGACAAACAGAACCTAGTGACATGATAAAAATATAATAAGTTATCATATGTTATTACTTCAACATGAAATATGTAAAAGAGCCACATACTTTGAATTTTATATTAGTTTGAACTATTTGATTTTTGTGTTATAAATGTTCCTAATAAAATACAGAACTAGCTAAGAATTTCAGTTACCAGTAATTAACTGTATGAATAATTAACCAAGTAGGTGTTTGAGGAAATATAACCATGTCCTAAGGTTTTACTTTAGAGTAGTTTAATCTTTTTTTTTTTTTTTTTTTTTGTGTGTGTGTGTGTGTGGGTGTACTGGGGATTGAATCCAGGGGCACTTAATCACCAAGCCACATCCCCAGCCCTTTTTTGTATTTTATTTAGAGGCAGGGTCTCAAAAGAGTTCCTGTGGCTGCTCATCATCCTCATGGTTGATACTACACTTTAGTAAAGACCTTAGCAGCTTAATAGTTGTGCAGTGCACCTTGGGGTCTTAGTTTGTGCTTTCTTCATGACAGGTGATACTAAGAGACATTTCTATGCTTCTTTGCCATCTTGTATCTTTCTTGTGCATTGTCTGTTCAGATCTTTACCCATTATGTTGGGTTATTGTTGAGTGTCTTACTATATTTTGTACACAAGTTTGTTTTAGACATATACTTTCCAAAGTTTCCCCCAGTCTTTGACTTGTCTTGTCATCACTTTAATAAGTTTGTTTTTTACAGAGCAGTTTAATAGAGTCCACATTATCAGGTTTTTCTTTCATGGATTTGTTGTTGTTATTGTTTGTTTGTTTTGTAGCAGGGATTGAACCCAGGGGTGCTTAACCACTGAGCCACATCCCCAGCTTTCATGGATTTTTTTTGGGGGGCTGTATTCACAAAATATGTGGTCATGCACATCTTCTAGAGTTTTACAGTTTCCCATTTTAAATGCAAGTGTAGAGAGTATTTTGATAGGTTCTGGTGTCCATATGTGTGGCTTCTTGAAGTGTGTCCTTTTGCAGTCAGTGCTGTCTAGTCTAGGTTTAAAAATAGCTTGTTGGGAATTTCTGGAATGCACTGAATCTTCAGGTCAGGTTTGAGATAATTTCATCTTAATTATATTGAGACATGAACAAAGTATATCTGCATTTATTTATATTTCATTTGATTTCTTTCTAAACACTTCAAGATTTTCTGAAAGAATGATTGTATTTTAAGACTTACATGAAAGTACTTCAGATTTGGGGTCTCTATTTTAAATATTAATGTTTTAAAATTTTTCTTATTCCAGTTTATAAATTTCACTGTTTCCTCTACATGATTGCTAAATTCAATGAAATTTTGTCTATGGGCCATGTATTTTGCTGCTTGCTATCTCCATCCATTCTGATCAAGATATAGGATGGTAGGCTCTATTTCTTTTTGATTTCTAAAATCATGACCTGGAATAGTCAGAAGTATGAATTTTAGAGCTTCACTGTGCCTAGCACAAGGGGGTGCAGCTCTGAACAGTGAACACCCAGAATCCTGCACTGTCTACAGTGGCCAGCAGGGGGCACTCAGAATAACTTTCTCTGATCAATTACTTTTGGGGGCTGTGTTCTGTGCCCTAATCAAACTTCCTTCTGGGGACCCACCTGAGAGATGCCTGCCACATCTAGGGACTCCTAGGGGCTCTATCTAAGGTGTAGACCAGTGTTTTTTTTTTTTTTTTTTTTTTAATCCTGGGGACACATCTAGAAAGATACCATGGCCTGGGAATGCCTGGTGGATATATCTATGGTGAGGACCAGAACTTCCTTCTCCTTGGCACCTACCCATGGAGACTCCACTGTGGATTCAGGATGACTGAGGTCCATGTGAGGAAAACATGAGGAAGAAGCTTCCTGTGCACTGCCTGGTGTGCTGAGAAGTAAGTTCTGCCATGTTCTTTACTTTCTCAGGTAATATTTTAGCAGAATTTATTTTACAACAGTATTTATTTTTTTAATATTTATTTTTTAGTTTTTGGTCGGCACAACATCTTTATTTATTTTTATGTGGTGCTGAGGATCAAACCCAGCGCCCCCCCGCATGCCAGGCGAGCACGCTACCACTTGAGCCACATCCCCAGCCCCACCACCACAACAGTATTTCTTACTGAGGCTTTGGCTGCTCATTATCATGGTATATCAATGTATTTTGTGTGGCTTGAGTGTCTAAGGACACAAATGCCCCCTCAAGGTGGTGCTGGGAGGGCCCAGTGCCTGGAGTCTCACTGGGGCCTGAGGGTAAGGGCTCATGAAAATGCAGTAAGAAGCTCTCAGGAGCCTCTAGGCTGAGAGATGTAAGGATTATGATGGATTGCACTACTTTGAATCCTGGGTAACTACAGAATCATCATTGTAGTTACCAGAGCCTTCTGAAGTCAAATGACAAACTGTACTACCCATAATTCTTAGGGACCTTCAGCTTGCAGAGACCTCTGCAGAGAGGGCTGTACTGACAAAAAAATCAAACTATGCTACCAATTACTTTTGGGTGCCTGCTTTGCTCAAGAGCCTCTGCGGTGAGAATTGCAAGGGCAGAATACCAGACTTCAATGCTCAGAACTTCTGGGGATGCCTACATACCCTGACCCTGTAAGTCCCAGAGGTTTCTGTGGTGACAGTTGTATTGTTACAGCACACTACCTAGAATCTCTAGGGTACCAGGGAAAGCATGGGGTCTTCAGCTCCTGTGATCCTCAGCAGGACTGTGCAGGCAAACCCTAGACTGCATTATCCAGAACCATCAGGGACTGCAGCTCCCAGAATCCTCTGTGGTGAGTGGGCAAACTGTTGAACTGCATTACTCACAATCCTAAGGGGGAATTTGAGTTTCAGAATTTTCTGCAGTGAGTAGGAAAAAGACAGGACTACATTACCCACAAATCTCAGTGTCAGCAGTTCTCAGAATCCTCTGTTGTGAGGACTGTTGGACTGAGAGCTTAACTACAGTATCCAGAATCCTTGGTGAGGTGTGTTTCCCAGGTGAGTATGCAGCCTGCAACTCCCAGAGGCCTCCCAAGTGAGAGCTGTGCATTATGCAGGTCAGACTACACTACCTACAATTCCTGGGGACACACTGGTGAATGTGCTGCCTGCAATTCCAGGAGGCTTCCACAGTGAGGTCTTCAGTACCAAGGCAAGCCTGTGGCCTTCAGTTCTCATGGCCCTTGCAGTAGGGGCATGTAGGCAAAACACTGGACTACCTTATCCAGAATCCTCAGGGGGTATCACAGTTCCCAGGATCTGCAATAGTGAGGGCTACAGGGTAGGGAGCTGAACTATACTACCTAGAATTCTTGGAGATGCCCGGTGTCCATGTGGCCTGGAACTCTCAGAGGCTTCCACAGTGAGGGCTATGGAGGCAGAAGGTAAGACTATGCTACCAGAATCCCTGAGGGGCATGCAGCTCCCAGGCACCTACCTTTTGAGTTCTGCCAGGGCAAGGTTTGTATTGCACTACACAGACTCCCAGGGGTGTCTAGGCAGGCTTGTGCTACACAGATCCCAGACCTTTGATGGTGAAGTCCACTTAGGTAGGATGGACTGCACAACCCAGAATAATCAATGGCCCACAGCTCTCAGAGACCTCTGCGGTCAGGGCTGACTGAGTAGAACTGACTACAATACTCAGAATTCCTGAGGGCTCTGAGCTCTATGTAGTCACTGTACAGTTGAACATAGCACCAGGCTATAATACCCATGATCGTTGGGGGCTTGCAGCTCCCAGAATCCCCTTGGCAGAACACCAGACTACACTGTCCAGAATCCCTAGGGATGCCTGAATGACTGTGTAGCCTACAATTTCTAGAGACCTCTGCTGGGGGTGGGGGCTGCATTGTAGAAGACTAGATTACACTGCCCAGAATCCTGGGTGGGTGTATGAGGGTTAAAGTGCTACTTGAAGCCCCCATAGGCTTCTGGAGGGAGGGCTAAATGGTCAGAATGCCAGGCTACACTGTGCAGAATCACTAGGGGTTCCTGAGTAGCCTGCAGCTCACAGAGACCTCTGCAGCTGGGCTGCATTGTAGAATACAAGACTGCACTACCCAGAATCCTGGGGGTATGCGGGTAAATGAGCTACTTGCAACCCCTAGGCTTCTGGGGTGAGGGCTGCATCGGTAGAACACCAGAGTCCACTGCCAGGGTCCTCCAGGGTGGCTGGGCCAGCACATGGCACACAACTTTCATGGTCCTGAAGGGCAAAGACTGTGTGAGCAGAGCACCAGACTACACTGTCTAGAATCCCTGAGAACCCTGAATCTGTGTAGCTTGCAGCTCCCAGAGGCATCTATGGTGAGAGATGGACAGGCAGGACAGACTGAATGACCTAGAATGCTCTCAGAGGCTACTGGGAATTTGGTTTGAGCTCAGGTTCTTCTACCCTCCTACAGTGGTCATCCTGGGCTGGGAATTAACAGATTTTCTTAAAATTCCTGATTCTAAAATGGGGCAGACCCTGGCTAAGTCACTCTGTCCAAAGACTACATGTCCCAGAAGCCTTTGAGGTGGTCTCTGCCCTTGGGCGCCTGAGTGAGGGTCTAGACTCCCTGTGGAAGCCTCCCTCTGTGCCTCTGCCCACCTGGCTCAGGCTGCTGCAGCCCTTGGCCTGGTGGAGTGCAGGGAGGGGTCTCCTGGACTCCATTTCTCCTCTCCTGAGATTCCACTCCTCATGGTGCCACAGCCAGACCTAGTTACAGCAGTGGGAACGGATTTTATTCAGTAACTGCTGAGGGTGGAAGAAGGTGGTGACATTCACCAGGGAGCCAGGAGAGGCGCCGCCTTTGAGCAGTGAGCAGCTGGTGCACGTGGCCAAAGGGGCGTGGTCAAGAAGGGGCAGGGCCCCGCCGCCATCTTTAATGCTGCCTCCCTGAGAGTGAGGAGAGCTGGCTTCCCACTCAGGACCAACCCGGGAGAGCCCCAGCTCACTGGAGTGTTGGGTCACTCCACAGAGAGGGGCAGAGCTCCCTTCTCAGAGCAGATTGAGAGAGAGACACCCAGGTTGGGGACCATCGTGGGTCATGCCTCCAGGGACTCCCGGAGCTCCCTTCTCCTTAGAGCAGCCTCAGCAGACTTTTGGCTTAGAGACTTCGTGAGTCATGGCTCTAGGAATGCCTGGGGTTCCTTTGTCTTCAGATCAGCCTGAGGGGGATGCCTGTCTTGGGGACCCTCGTGTGGCATGTTTCTAGGGTTTCCAGGGTTTCCTGAGGGAGATCCCAGGGTTGGGGACCCTCACAGGTCATGTCTCTAGGGACGCCGGGGGTTCCCTTTTCTTCAGAGTTATCTGAGGAAGACTCCTGGTCTGGGGAGCCTTGTGGGTCGTGTCTCTAGGGACACCTGGGGTTCCGTTCTCCTCAGAATAGCCTGAGGGAGATGCCTGGTGTGGGGCAGCCCTATTTTGTATTATAGAGACAGGGTTTCACTGAGTTGCTTCATGCCTTGCTTTTGCTGAAGCTGGTTTTGAACTCAAGATCCTTCTGCCTCAGCCTTCTGAGCCGCTTAGGTTTAAATATATTACTTCTAACAAAGCCAGAATTTATTAAAAATACATCCCCTGTATTTTTAATAATGAACCACATTTTTATTCTTTAACCTTTGCTTAGTTTTGTTTAAAAATTTTTTTTTTAGTTGTAGAAGGGCACAATACATTTATTTTATTTATTTTTATGTGGTGCTGAGATCAAACCCAGTGCATCACACATGCTAGGCAAGCACTCTACCACTGAGCTACCACAGCCACACATTTTTCTTTTGGTGCAGAGTTTAATTAGCATGAAGCCACCCCTCCAGGACCCTCTTGCTAAGGCCTCCCCCTCCAGACCCTGCCTCTTCTCCAGACCCCACCCATATTCTTTGGCCCTGCCTTGCCTCCTGAACCACCTTCCCCCTCCTTCCTACACTGTCTCTCCTCTATGTCCTACTCATGTTCTAGGGCCTGTCCCTCCCTCAGGTCCCATCCTTCTGCCAAGCCCTGCCTCCTTGTGACTCATTCTCCCCCTCCTTCAGACCCTGTCCCTCCTCCAGATCTTTCCCTTCTTCCTGTCCTGCTCCTCCTGCAGACCTCACCTTCCTCTCTCTCTCTCTTTTTAAATTTTTGTTTTGCACTTGGACACAATGCCTTTATTTTGTTTATTTACTTTTATGTGGTGCTAAGGTTTGAACCCAGTGCCTCACACATGCTAGGCAAGCGCTCTACCACAGAGCCATAACCCCAGCCCAACCCTCCTCCTCTTTAAGACCCTGCCTCTTCTCCAGACCCCACCCATCTTCCAGGCCCCCTCCTCCTCCTGACCTTCCCTCCCCCTCCTCCAGACTCTGCCTCTGCTGCTGTGCTAATTGGCAGTATATTTGTAATGATGCACAAATAACCTCCCTTGTGTAAACACTGACATCCTGCATTGGATGAATTATCTTGACTGTATCAGAATTCGATATACCATAAAATAACTTTAGAAAAGTGACCTTTCTCTCTTTTTATTTTCTCTATCAATCATGAACATTTGAAATAAAGTCAGAATTTGTTAAAGGGCAGATGACAGTCAGCCTTGAGCCCTGATGATCCCAGGATCCCTTCCAGTGGGAGAACTCTAAGTACCAGTCCAAGGTTCTGTATGCTAATTGATTCATTTTCTCATTTTAGAGTTATTTTGTAATGTAATTCCCCATGGCCTCCAGGTCTCCAGTTCTGTGCAGTAGGTTTTTCCAATTCAATTTTTGATTAATATTCTTTCAGTTTTCTACAGAATTTTTAAAATATTTTTTTAGTTGTCAGTGGATGTTTTTATTTTATTTATTTATTTTGTTTATTTATATGTGGTGCTGAGGATTGAACCCAGGGCCTAACACCTGCCAGGCAAACGCTCTGCCTTTGCACCAAAACTCTAGCTCTTTATAGAATTTTTAATTCTGTGAACTTTTATTTTTTATAAGGAATATTTTAAAAATTACTTTTAGCTTACTTTGTTTTTGATTGAGAGAATTGTTTTGTTTGAGAGAATTGTCTTGTTTGGAAGTGCTCATAATCAAATTATTTTAATTAATTTCCTATTAAGGTATCTTTGGAGACTGGATGTGCAGCTCAGTGGCAGAGCACTTGTGTGGCATGTGAGAGGCCATGGAGTCCATCCCAGCACCACACATACAGAAGATGTCTTTGACAGGACTCAAGCATGAGAGGTATGGTTTAAAAAGATCATGTATTGTGGCTGGGGTTGTGGCTCAGTAGTAGACATTCACCTACCACATGGGAGGACCTGGGTTCGATCCTCGGCACCACATAAAAATAAGTAAATAAAACAAAGGTATTGTGTCCAACTACAACTAAAAATAAAAATTTTTTAAAAAGGTCATGGATTTCCACATACATATATATACCACAGTGCCTCTTCCAAATTCATATGAAATTATTCTAAGAAAATTTCAAATCAGTTTTAAAAGAGAAGAGGGATGATGATATTTTTAATGTCAACTATTGATATTTCATGATATTTAAAACCACTATAGATGAAATTTCCTGAGATGAAAATCATTACAAAATGTAAGAGACAAGTCAGTAGATGTGTTTTTTTTTTTTTTGTAATTCAGATATATTTACTAAAAATAAGCTTTTTTTAAAAAAAGATATTTTTTCTTTTTCTTTAAAATTTAGAAAGCATTTCCATATGTCCTATTAAAGTTCTACATTCATCAGAAAGTTCTCTTATTCCTTGCAAACAAAGGGATGGGCCTTCTAATGAGCATGATACTTTATGTTGTCAGGAATTCTTGTGGGAGAACTCTTTAAGTGTTTTTGCCTTAGTTCAAAATATTATTTAAAAATGTATCAACTTGCTTTTGATTTCAGAAATTTGACTTTCTTTGAAATTATGTATTTATTAGTAGTTAAAGTTATTTCATGTGGGAAATGCCATGATTACATTTTATCCTAATGTTATCCTAATATTGTGTTAATAATTTCCTAAGCTAGATTATGTTCATTTTTCTTATCAACAGTCATTAAAGCCTTTTTTGTTGTTTTGATGGTAAGCTTAATGTGAACATGCTTTATGATGTGACACCACTGTTCATGATGGTCTAGGTATGCAATACACTATAAGGAGAGTATTTTGATTTTGAGAGTCTCAAGTGTTTTAGGCCCAACATGTTTTCTTAAGAGGAATGATTATTCATTTTCTATTTGATTACACAAATAAGACACAAATTCTTTTTTTTCCTTTTGTGCTTCTGGGGGTTTGTCCTAGGGCCTCCTGCTTGCTAGGAAATCTTTCTACCACTGAGCTACATCCCCAGCCCCATAGATCCTTTAGTTGTCATGAGCTTCATTATGAGCATCCATAGCTCCTTGTGATTTCTAAAAGGTAGAGTGTTTTCCCACAACACAGCAGCATGTAAAATCACTCCTGGACTGAGTTGACACCTCTGCTTCTCTTGGATCACAACTTCCTGCAGAGGTCTTGGAGGAGATGACTATTTCTTTGACTATTTGTCCCAGTGACAAATATTAGATTATATTGCTGCTAAAATGTATGCGTAGAAATAAAATAGAGACAAGGATTCTTTGGGATAAGTGATTCAGTCACAGTGAGTCAATTTGTATTAAGACAATTTTTTTTTTAATAAAGTCGCTCTTTAGAGAAAGTTAAACCATGAGTTGAAATAAAATCTCTAAAATGTCATTTTTTTCCCCCTGTAGTGATCATATTTTAAGAAGGAAAACCTAGAACTTAGTGACAGCATAAAAATATAAGTTATCATATGTTATTACTTCAACATGAAATATGTAAAAGAGGCACATACTTTGAATTTTTTAAAAGTTTTTTTTAGTTGTAGCTGGACACAATGCCTTCATTTTCATTTATTTATTTTTATGTGGTGCTGAGCCTCAAACCTAGCACACTACCTAGAATCTCTAGGGTACCAGGGAATGCATGGGGTCTTCAGCTCCTGTGATCCTCAGCAGGACTGTGCAGGCAAACCCTAGACTGCATTATCCAGAACCATCAGGGACTGCAGCTTCCAGAATCCTCTGTGGTGAGTGGGCAAACTATTGAACTGCATTACTCACAATCCTAAGGGGGAATTTGAGTTTCAGAATTTTCTGCAGTGAGTAGGAAAAAGACAGGACTATATTACCCACAAATCTCGGTGTCAGTAGCTCTCAGGATCCTCTGTTGTGAGGACTGTTGGACTGAGAGCTTAACTACAGTATCCAGAATCCTTGGTGAGGTGTGTTTCCCAGGTGAGTATGCAGCCTGCAACTCCCAGAGGCCTCCCAAGTGAGAGCTGTGCATTATGCAGGTCAGACTACACTACCTACAATTCCTGGGGACACACTGGTGAGTGTGCTCTGCCTGCAATTCCAGGAGGCTTCCACAGTGAGGTCTTCAGTACGAAGGCAAGCATGTGGCCTTCAGTTCTCATGGCCCTTGCAGTAAGGGCATGTAGGCAAAACACTGGACTACCTTTATCCAGAATCCTCAGGGGAGAATCACAGTTCTAGGATCTGCAATAGTGAGGGCTACAGGGTAGGGAGCTGAACTACACTACCTAGAATTCTTGGAGGTGCCCGTGTCCATGTGTCCTGGAACTCTCAGAGGCTTCCACACTGAGGGCTATGGAGGCAGAAGACAGGACTATGCTACCCAGAATCCCTGGGGGCCTACAGCTCCCAGACACCTACCTTTTGAGTACTGCTGGGCAAGGTTTGTATTGCACTACACAGACTCCCAGGGGTGTCTAGGCAGGCTTGTGCTACACAGATCCCAGACCTTTGATGGTGAAGTCCACTTAGGTAGGATGGACTGCCCAACCCAGAATAATCAATGGCCTACAGCTCTCAGAGACCTCTGCGGTCAGGGCTGACTGAGTAGAACTGACTACAATACTCAGAATTCCTGGATGCTCCAAGCTCTAAGTAGTCACTGTACAGTTGAACATAGCACCAGGCTATAATACCCATGATCCTTGGGGGCTTGCAGCTCCCAGAATCCACTGTAGTGATGCTGCATGGGCAGAACATCAGACTACACTGTCCAGAATCCCTAGGGGTGCCTGAATGATTTTGTAGCCTGCAATTTCTGGAGAGTTCTGCGGGGGAGGGGGGGCTGCATTGTAGAAGGCTGGTTTATACTGCCCAGAATCCTGGGTGGGTGTATGAGGGTGAATGTGCTACTTGAAGTCTCCATAGGCTTATGGAGTGAGGGCTGAATGGGTAGAATGCCAGACTACACTGTTCAGAATCACTAGGGGTGCCTGAGTAGCCTGCAGCTCACAGAGACCTCTGTAGCTGGGCTGCATTGTAGAATATGAAACTGCACTACCCATAATCCTGGCACTATGAGAGTAAATGTGCTACTTGCAACCCCTAGGCTTTTGGGGTGAGGGCTGCATGGGTAGAACACCAGAGTCCACTTCCAGGGTCCTCCAGGGTTCATGGACCAGCACATGGCAAACAGCTTCCATGGTCCTGAAGGGCAAAGACAGTGTGGGTAGAGCACCAGACTACACTGTCCAGAATCCCTGAGAAGCCCATCTGTGTAGCTTGCAGTTCCCAGAGGCATCCATGGTGAGAGCTGTATAGGCAGGACAGACTGAATGACCTGGAATGCTCCCAGAGGCTACTGGGCATTTGGTCTGAGCTCAGGTTCTTCGACCCTCCTACAGTGGTCATCGTGGGCTGGGAATTAACAGACTTTCTTAAAATCCCTGATTCTAAAATGGGGCAGACCCTGGCTAAGTCACTGTCTCAAAGACTACATGTCCCAGAAGCCTTTGAGGTGGTCTCTGCCGTTGGGCACTTGAGTGAGGGTCTAGACTCCCTGTGGAAGCCTCCCTCTGTGCCTCTGCCCACCTGGCTCAGGCTGCTGCAGCCCTTGGCCTGGTGGAGTGCAGGGAGGGGGTCTCCTGGACTCCATTTCTCTTCTCCTGAGATTCCACTACTCATGGTGCCACAGCCAGACCTAGTTACAGCAGTGGGAACGGATTTTATTCAGTAACTGCTGAGGGTAGAAGAAGGCACTGACGTTCACCAGGGAGCTGGGAGAGGCCCCGCCTCTGAGCTGTGAGCAGCTTGGGGCTGGAGCACCTGCACGTGGCCAAAGGGGCATGGTCAAGAAGGGGCAGGGCCTTGCCTCCATCTTTAATGCTGCCTCCCTGAGAGTGAGGAGAGCTGGCTTCCCACTCAGGACCAACCCGGGAGAGCCCCAGTTCACTGGAGTGTTGGGTCACTCCACAGAGAGGGGCAGAGCTCCCTTCTCAGAGCAGATTGAGAGAGAGACACCCAGGTTGGGGACCCTCGTGTGTCATGCCTCCAGGGACTCCTGGAGCTTCCTTCTCCTCAGAGAAGCCTCAGCGGACTCTTGGCTTAGAGACTTCGTGAGTCATGGCTCTAGGAATGCCTGGGGTTTCTTTGTCCTCAGAGCATCCTAAGGGGGACACCTGTCTTGGGGACCCTCGTGTGGCATGTTTCTAGGGTTTCCTGAGGGAGATACCAGGGTTGGGAACCCTCACAGGTCATGTCTCTAAGTAGGCCTGGGGTTCCCTTCTCCTCAGAGCGGTCTGGAGGAGACGCCAGTGTAGGGACTCTCTTGGGTCACGTCTCTAGTGACGCCCTGGGTTCCTTTCTCTTCAGAGTTGTCTGAGGAAGACTCCTGGTGTGGGGAGCCTTGTGGGTCGTGTCTCTAGGGACACCCGGTGTTCCGTTCTCCTCAGAGCAGCCTGAGGGAGATGCCTGGTGTGGGGTAGCTCTATTTTGTATTATAGAGACAGGGTTTCACTGAGTTGCTTCTTGCCTTGCTTTTGTTGAGACTGGTTTTGAACTCAAGATCCTTCTGCCTCAGCCTTCTGAGCCACTTAGGTTTAAATATATTACTTCTAACAAAGCCAGAATTTATTAAAAATACATCTCCTGTATTTTTAATAATGAACCACATTTTTTCTTTAATCTTTGCTTAGTTTTGTCCAAAAATTTTTTTTTTTAGTTGTAGAAGGGCACAATACATTTATTTTATTTATTTTTATGTGGTGCTGAGATCAAACCCAGTGCCTCACACATGCTAGGCAAGCACTCTACCACTGAGCTACCACTGCCACACATTTTTATTTTGGTGGAGAGTTTAATTAGCATGAAGACACCCCTCCAGGACCCTCTTGCTAAGGGACCCTCGTGGGTCCTGCCT